ATCATTGAAATTTTCCAGAATCTTCTGTTGTAAATCGACTTTTAAATCGCTAGAATTTTCTACCATTTTCTGTTGCAGATCGTCTTTTAGTTCTTTAGAATTTTCTAGAATTTTCTGTTGTAACTCGTTGGAATTTTCCAGAATCTTTTGTTGTAAATTTTGCAACATTAAATGCATATCACAAGGGCCTTCAAATAAATACTCATCTGGATTTTTACCTTCCTGTTCCAACGCTTCTCGAAGCCGTTGCTGCAACACATTCTTTTTTCCAGTTGTATCACATTCTTTTTCTTCTAGCTCTCGCTTAAGGTCTGCCACTTTTAAGTCCATTAACGAAACCATTTTCGCGAAATTTCACACTAACCGCACTCCTGACACCAATGTAACGTTTTTAACTGTTCGTAGTGTGAATAAAAACACGCACTGGTTTATTAACGAACTAAACTATTTATTTTAATAACTTAACTACACTTAAAACACTATAAAACTAACTAAACACTTAACTACTAATTATTTATATCACTGCTAGTTTATTTATTTGCACTTATATTTATTTATTTCTTCCCGAGTACCAAAGCTCAACTGCCTGCTCTGTGATGCTCCGTTTCTTATAAATTCAGCGCCAAGGTCTTCTGGAACATTCCAGCGAGCTCCACACTCTCGATTATTCGAGCGCTGAGTCACCGGCGATGACTCACCGGCAATGACTAATCGGCGATGAGTCATCACTCCGATATCCAGGGCGGTACTCGCTACAATATATATATATATACAGGGTGTCCCAGAACTCGCGCCACAGAGAAAAAGGGAACGTACCGAAAGTAATTTGAAACACATATTTAAAAATTCAAATTGTCCAACGCAAAGGATAAGGGAGATAAGAATAAAAAACGATAGCCAATCCCAATAGATCACCACAGGGAATTCTTTAAATTGCTAGGATACTTAGGTTGCATTGTTGATAATAAAAAATATGTAAAATATTTGGTCCACTGGAATCCAATTCATTGTAACACTGCTGTCAATCTTTACTTCTGTCATTAATATTATATTTGGTTATAACACAGTTATAAATTAAGTTATTATAAATAATGTTTTCCTTAGATGATTATACCGAAATGATAATTATTTATGGGGAGTGTGGGCGCAACGCCAGGGAGACAGCGAGAGTTTTTTCCCAGCGCTTTCCTGATCGTCCCCTGGACAGTAAAGTAATCCTTAGAACTATCACAAGAACCCGAGAGACCGGTCAAGTTGTTCCGCTTCGTAAGGGGATTGGAGGTGCTCCCAAACGTATTAGAACAGTGGAAAATGAAGAATCTGTTTTGAATGCGTTTGAGGAAAATAGTAGGAAGAGCATAAGGGAAGTTGCTCGAGAACTGGATATTTCCCGCTCCACAGTTCAGCGGGTTATGAAGAACGATCGGCAACACCCTTTTCATTTTACCCGAGTGCAGCACCTTCAGCCGGAAGATTATCCCGCTAGAGTCGAATTCTGCCTGTGGTTGCTGGAGCAAGAAAATCTCCAGCCAAATTTTGTTTCTAACATTATGTTTTCGGATGAGTCAATTTTTGCCAGACAGGATGCTTCAATGCCCATAATTTACATGTATGGGCAAATGAAAATACGCATTGCAAGAGCTGTCGGTATTGGCTGCCACTTTTTTGCTTTAATTCGCTTACACTATTACCTAGAAATTTTTTATTTTTAAATTGGGCATCTCCATTTCTGTCGGCACGCCCCCTTTTTCTCTGTGGCGCGAGTTCTGGGACACCCTGTATATATATATATATATATTTAGGCAAATGTTTAGGAAAATAAATGCAATGATGCCGAAGACATTTAAAATTTGTGACAAGAATATAAAAAAAATTAAGAAACAAACTCTGGAGGATAACAATAAGACAAATATTTTTAAACACAATTTTGGTTTTATATTATAATCCTTATTTATTAAATAGTAATTTTTTTAATTATCTAGGTATATTAAAAAATAAACATTTATGAAAGGTTTATTAAACAATAAATATTTTCACCCAAGTTCAATGTTAGGGGTACCTAATTATTTTACAATAAAACCAAAAAACACCAAAGATATTTGATATAATTAACATGGTAGTAATTTTATCTTTAAAAAAATGTTTTTTTTTAATTTTATCTTTGTTATAGGTATGCATACCTTCTGAATTTATTTTTTCATATACAAACAAAAATATTGTCTATTTTTATCCATATTTTAAATCAGTCGTTAACGACTGATATAAATTATATCAACCAATTTACATTTTAGATGATTTTATTGGCCAAAAAACAAATCTAGTAAACCATGACTTATATTAGCGAAATTATTTTCTATGGTTAAAAGCAAATGTCACAAATGTCAAATAAATCTTGATGAAATTTTGATTCTTTTATGTCTAATTTAAAATGTCAATGTATAGAAATCGACGATTTAGGGAAAATATAAACAGTTTTTAAAGAAAATTACTACGTTGCCATGTCGACGTTTTAGGGAAAATATAAACAGTTTTTAAAGAAAAATACTACGTTGCCATGTCGTGCAAAAACGTATATCCATTGATATGCTCAATCAGTTGGTATAAATAAATCAACGTTTCTGCATAAGGCCCTTAATGTGGACATATTTAAGTAATATTTCATTTAACATTTTTAACCTTCATTTCATTTCCAACAACATTTTTTTAATAATTTACCGCTTAATAAATAATAAACTTTTTATCTTTATTCTACAGGAAGTTACAAATGTAAATAAGCAAATTATACTGTTTATTATTAAAATAAAACTTTTAAGTGCCTAAATTTAAATTGTTGTTTAACTGTTAAATGTTATCAAAAAACGATTGTTGGTAATTTTAATAATATACAGTGTATTACAAATGTGAATAAGCAAATTATACTAACTATAATTAAAATATGTTTTTTAACATTTAGTGCTTTGTCTTTCTTAAATAATATTATGAATTAATTAAATAACTTTTAGGTGCTATCAAAAACCGATTGTCCTTAATTTTAATAATATACAGGTAGTGTTGCCGTCTAGACAAGACAAGACAAGAGTTACTTACTCTTGTCTTGTCTTGAAAATTTCAAGACAAGAGTTGTGTAAGTCTAAGTCTTGATTAAAAAAGCTTAATGCGGTCTTGTCTAGATTAACTAGTCTAGAATATTATTTAAGAGTCTAGATTATTATTCAAGAGTCTAGATATAAATTATGCGTTTGCGCAATGTAATTTCCACTTTTGTTTTAGAACCAGTCAAAACAAATAACTTCCGCCACGTGCAGACACAACCCTTGCGTTTTGTTTTTGCACTAAATTAAGCAGTACTCTCTTAAAATGAATTAGTCAAAAATAACTAATTATAAGTCATATTTGACTAATTGTCATAGCGAAAAAGCAGTCACTAATAATTAGTCAAATTCCACTGAATGAAATAGTTAAATTGGTAAATTTAAATTTAAAAAAAGTTTTGACCCAGCCTGGGATTGAACTCACGTCTGTCACTTGAGAAGCTTGTCCACCTAACCTCATAACCAGTCGGCTGTCAGCCGCTCTTATAAAAATAAATTTTATTTGTCAATAAATATTGTTCATAATATTTTAAAGTTTAATATATTATTTGTATTACTGTTTTGAGCTAAACTTTTTGCATCTTTATTTATTTTATGGGTCATTTAACCATGGAGAGGTATATGCATTTAATTCAAATAATACTTTGTTGTTGGCCGTAAACGATTAAAGAAATTAGTTACTTTTAACTGTCAGAAATAGTCAAATATGGTGACTAATCTTAAATTAGTCAAACTTTAACTATTTACGTAGTAAAAAATAACTATTTAAAAGTGAAAACGACTATTTTATTAGTAAAATATGCTGGTACTAATTCAAATAGTAGTATTTTGACTATTTCATTTTTAGAGAGTAAATTTATTATTATTTAGGTTAGTTTTTGTTGTTTTACTACTGGTTAATACTAAGAAGCATTTTAAAATATGGAAACAAAGCGTTAAAAATTTTCCTGTACTTGCAATGAAGATAAAAAACATCGCAAGTACAACTGCCAAATGATAATAATAATTTTAACGAAGAAAAAGTGGAAGATCCTTTTACGTGTGATTCGATAGATGAAGATAAAAGTTATGAGCCTGGACCAGACAATTTTTCAGGTAGTGATGATAAAAGGGTTTTTTCGCCAACCAACAGTACCACGGTGGTACTACCACCACAGCAACAATCGATTTTAAGCCACCAACTTCACGTACTTCAATACCAATCTACTTCAAAGACAACTCAACATAAGAAAAAAAGGTTATTGGCAAAAATAGTTTTAAATATATCTAGAAAATAAGCCCAAGATAAGCCCCAAATATATGTAGAAAATAAGCCCAAGATTTTAATAAAATATATACATTCTTTTTAATAAAAAAATAATAATTAAATGTAGTGTTTTTAATATTTTTTAAAAAGTTAAATTTAATCTAGTCTTGACAATAATCAAGAGTTTTGGCTTAAAGTCTTGTCTTGTCTTGATCATAATCAAGATTTATGGCTAAGGTCTTGTCTTGTCTTAATACACTTAGACAAGATATGTTGACGGTCTTGTCTTGATATTCTAGACAAGACAAGACAAGAGTCTAGAATGTGTTAGTCTTGACGGCAACACTATATACAGGGTATAATAAGAAGACAAAGCATATATGCAATATACGTTAAATAATATATTACATTTTTACTGGTTTAGTTTGTTTAACTATTGTGTAGCCCCGTATATTAAAATAAAAGCCCTCAAATTAAAAAAGTTTTATATAAAACAGTGCTTAAAATCGTTTATTTAATCAAAGTAAGCCTTTTAAATTTGTCGGTGTATTGAACTGCTAAGCATATGTGTTAGTACCTACTACTGGGATAATTAAATAATTCCGTTTGATAACTAAACAAAACAAAACGTTCAACTCATTTAATCACAATTCAGTATCATCATGGTGGTATCAATGGAAGCATCACCTTTGCCTAGTCTGTATCAACATTATACTCAAGGTTAGTTTTTTGTTGTTTGTAAAGAAGTTAATTAAAAAAATAGTGGATTTATATGCAAATTTTTAATTAAAAATTTGGTATATAATACAATTAATTATTAAATTTTGGCTTTTTCGAGCAGAATTTGGGTCAGCGCCTTGCATAACCTCTTAAAAAAATTGAAACCTGATTTTTTTAAACACTAAATTAAATATTGATTTGTTGCATATTTTACATCGACAAAACAATGGCAAAATAATAATAAAAAATTATAAACAAATACATTTAGTTTAAATTTATTTATTAAAACCTTTGTTAGGCTGTATAAATTTACCATTTAAAAACAATTAATTTTAGCCAAGGACAATAAAGACTGAATATAAAATACACATACATATATTAACCAGCACCTGAATCTTAAAAAAAACAGACTACCAACTATCAATTAAGGCGTATACTGCAAAAGCGGCCTAACTGAAAAAATAATCATATTGTGCCTTTATCTTAAAATGTTTTTATTATGCGCTTATCGAGTAAACTAGCCTAATAAAGTGTGTTTTAATATGAAGATAATGGAATACATATTTTACTATTTACTATTTTAAGGAGAAATAACTTCGGGTCTGTCCACCCAGCAGCCGTATTTTACTTTAAATGGTAGAAACATTAGCATCTATAGCGGCGCTGTACACTATTTCCGGGTGCCGCCGGAGTATTGGCGGGACAGGCTAAGAAAAATGAGACATGCCGGTTTAAATACCGTCGAAACTTACGTTCCGTGGAATCTTCACGAACCAGAACCAGGTAGATATTAAGTTTATTTATTTATGTAAAACATACACTTTTTGTTTTTTTTTTTCATTACATTTTTTAGTGTTTTTCAGAATTTTTATGTTTTTAAATATTTTGAAAGGATTTTAACAATAATCATTATTCAAAGTAATAAACAAAAATAAATTGTATACAATTGTATACAATATCTATAGATAAATTGTGAAGCATTTTATTAACTACTGCAAGGCACGTGCAACGAAAAAAATGACCATTGTAAGTTAATTTTTTTACCTAAACGTGCAGTTTTCTTGTCATTTTACCTTTGTTTGCAAAATTTTACTTTAAAATACATATGTAAAACGTAGTACCATTACATTACATATTTCAAAAAATATTAAATTTTATAACAAATTCATATCGCCTTTAAACAAGTACACTGTTTTTTAATAATTATATTCGTCTTAAAAATTTGTAAAAACCAATCAAGAACAATATCAATTTGGGATTATGCAAATTAAAAAAATCGCATTATTTCGACTTAAAAGTATGCTAGTTACAAGTGTCCCATTGTTTTTGGTCCACCCTGTATTATACTTTTTTATGCTCAAGTTGCTCCGAAATATTTTGTATTACCAAAAATGTTAAATCGTTAAACCATCTATGGTTGTATTTGGATTTACAAATGCACCATTATGAATTAAATATTTTAAAATCCATTTTTTTTTTAACCGCAAGTAAAGGTAATTGCCTAAATTTATATACTGCATTTACATCTGATACATTATTATTATCATTATATTTATATTCACTTTGTAAATTAAATTTTTAGTAACATTATAATTAAGTGGAAAATAGAAAAAAATGCTTTCACAGCACAATGCATGAAATATTTATAATTACTGATACGAACTCTTTAAAAATACCTTCTTATTGTGTAATTAAAAAAAATAAAAGTTATTAATAAATAACTTTAAATACATATAATATAAACATGGAAAAACTTTTACAACATTGTACCAGTTCTTAAAATTAATAGGTAGAGCTTAAAATTGAACTGAATTTTATTTTAACATGTTAAAATGTTTTAAACAGAACACTCCAATAAATAAAATTATTTTGAGGAAAATATGACTTTGGCAATGGAGGAACAGACTGGCAAGATTTTCTTAACCTAGAAAAATTCTTAAAGACCGCCCAAGAAGAAGATCTTTTAGCCATCATCAGGCCGGGACCTTTTATATGCGCCGAATGGGAATTCGGCGGTTTTCCCAGTTGGCTTTTAAGGGAAAAAAACATAAAAGTCAGAACTTCCGATGCAAATTACATGAAGCACGTGACAAGGTTTTTTAACGCTTTGTTACCAATTTTAGCGGCACTACAGTTTACATCAGGTAAACAAATCTTAGTACTAAGGGCAGTACTAATGGCATTTTTAAATTTTAGTCTTTTGAAGTATTTTTTGTTGGTCAGCGGCTTTTAGAACCTCTTAAACATATTTTGAATTTTATATTATTTGAAAGCCAGACTTAAAATTGTTTTGTTGCATATTTTATATTGGCAAAAAAATTATCCTTTCTGTACCTTCTTTATTTTAAAAATAATATGAGCTAATCAATTTTAGCACAAATTGTATTTTGCAGTAAGGTATATATAAATTTACTATTTAATTTAACTTAAACCATTACTCAATGCTTAAACCACAGTATACTGTGCTTAAACAAAACTCAGCCTCAATAGTAACATGAAAATAAAATGTTTGAAAAAGTTTTAATTTTAATAAAAATTATTTAGTATTTTATTTTTTTATTGGCAAAATGGTAAATTTGGAAAGATTAAGTCTTACGAAAAATGACAAAAATACTATTGATGTGAGTAAAAACCACAAGTTATTAAATTAATATTTTATAATATTATAAGCTTATTACAAGCATAATAAACAATATTTTAAAATAAATTTTATAACGTTTTTTACTCACACTTTTTAATTGTGACGGGCGGGACAAAAATCCCCGAGTATCGTGGAATGCTCCAATGTTAAATTAAAGAAAAAGTTACCGGGAAAGGGACAGAAGGGGATATTTTAAGTTTTGACAATAATTTCCAATATAAACGGGCATCAAAATATAAAATAGTTAATTGTTACTCCTATACCATAAAATTAACTTATTATTAGGTTTTTAAAGTAAAATGCAGTGGGTAGGCCAATTTTTAGATTTAAAAAATTACCCTTTATATTTGAATTTAAAATCTTTCAATTATAACTTTAAAAAGTCTGATAAAAACAGCATGGTTTAGTCGTAAAAATATTGTTAATGTTATTGAATTTTATATCGTAGGAGGTCCAATAATAGCTTTTCAAGTAGAAAACGAATATGGCAGCTCAGAAAGAATGACTTCAATAAATCCATTTCAACCAGATCTTAATTACGTTCAAGATTTAATAAATTTAATGAAAAGTAACGGTATAAAGGAGTTATTGTTTAGTTCTGATAATTCTGTGGATCACGGAACCAGAGGTACTATACCGAGCGAATTGTTTCAGACAGCCAATTTTAATAAGAATCCGGAACAGCAGTTTGATATGCTGAAAATGTTGCAGCCGAATCGGCCTTCTATGTGCATGGAGTTTTGGGCAGGTAATTAATTTTTTTTTTTGAATTTTATAAAAATAAACTTAAATGAATTTTAAATTTTTAAAAACTGTTTGTCGGATTTTTTTTTATTTTTTTTTTAATTTAAAATAACCCCCCTACAACGTGTTTACTATGAGTGCGCCATTTTACGTACATCTTTTTTACTAATTATTTCGGTTTTTTTTAATTTTAGATTTTATTTCTATTTTAATACTGTTATGATTTTTAAAGATTTTCCATTATTTTTATACCATTTTTCTTGATTCAACATTCATTTTTTTTTAAGTTTTTGAGATTTTTTAACAATTTTCTATAATTTTAAGACCATTTTTATATTAAAAAAATTTTCGAATCAAAAATTTTAGCAGTTTTTACATTTTTTCAATTTTCAAATATTTTTACGCATTTTCTTGATTTTAAATAAAAATCGTAACAAAGTGTTAAATTCTTCTAATCAAAAACAATATAATACAAAAATACAAATTTTGTGATATGTATAAAAAAAGTAATAAAACCAAAATGGGCAAAATAAAAAAAAATTATTTTTAATTAAAATTATAATAATTTTAAAAATCATGATCAAATAAATAAAGTTAATAGGTAGATTAAAAAATCACAACATTGTAAATGATATAAGTTTTATCTATTTATATATTTTAGTACAAATGAATAAATAACATTGTTTTTATTTAAATGGTGATTTTTTTGTAAATTTAAAAGGAAAATATAATTTATTTTAGGATGGTTTGACCACTGGTTTGAAAAACATTATGTCGGAAATGTATCAAATTTCAAAGACGTCTATGAGAGAATTTTGAAATACCCTGCTTCAGTAAACCTGTACATGTTTCATGGTGGAACCAGCTTTGGATTTTTGAACGGTGCAAACATAAAAGGCAAGTTAATTTTGTAGCGTTTTTTGGGCAATTAGATAAACTTCCCATATTTTTGTCTATAGGTTTCTTTACGTTTTAATAATACAACAAAAAAAAGTGGACCCTCCATTTCCCACTTGATCGTGGAATTCAAATAAATATATTTTAATATAAGGGTGATTCCATGAAATCTGGGTAACTCTATGTCCGCACCACTTTTCCCTTAATCTAATTGAATTTACCTTATTTTAAGATTGCTAGGTAATAGATCAATAGTATATTACACTACAAGGGCAGAAAGTGTGAGATTCCTGCACTGCGCGCCATGATGCCCGAGGCGAAGCCGAGGGCATCATGGCGCGCAGTTCAGGCCTCTCACACTTTCTGCCCGTGTAGTGTATACTATTTTTCTTACTACCTCGGCCGAAAATACAACCCGGCCGAAAATACGGGAAAAAATTAAATGTGTATTTATGTACCTATCTCCATTTGAAGAGCTTGATAAATAAATAACAGTAGGCCGTGAATTCAGCGGTGCCAATACAGTAAAAATAAAACGTTGTATTTTAATTAACAAATTACTACTTTATAACAAATAAAAGTACCATTAAACACTTAAAACAACATAAAAAGTAAAAAAGTAAAAACATAAATTGTTTATTTGTGGTTATAATTGCAAAATTATGGTTTAAAACTGTCATATTTTTGTGTTTCTCATGTTGGCAGTACGAAATTTGAATGTTAAGCACACGACTAAAAAATTTTTACTCCCGCTATTAGAGTGTGCGCGGATATTTGAAACCCTGTATAGGCTTACTCTGTCTTGCATAAGCATGCTTTCTCTGTCTTGTTTTCTCTGCTCGCGCCGTCAGTGGGCGAGGCATATGCTATACGGGGTTTTTAACGACATTCCAGGTAGAGCGTATTTTTCGTTCTTGCGTTCGAAAATTTGTTTTCAGTTATATTATTATAATATATATTATTATATATAATTATTATTATTATTATATATAATTATTAATAATATATAATAATTATATTATAATATATATTTATATAATTATTATATTATTCTAGCGGGAATTTCAGGACTCTTAGATAAAACTTCATATTTCAACAACAGTTGAAGTAAGCGACTTCATTTTTTTTTAAAAACTGTGTCAATGTTTTGACTACATTTGACTCGATATATATGTATAGAAATTTTCAATAATTCACATAGCTCGCCGCAGGGTAAAGTTTTTGATGCACGATTTTGATGATTCTATAATGCAACATTTTTTTTTCAAAATCTTTAGAAATTTTTAAAATTTCTGAATTGCTATTAGAAGCGCTCACATTTCAAGTATAAGTCTGCAAAAAATCAGAATTTTAGATTGTATTCTAGAATTAATACAACGGTTAATGTTACGAATCATCCACACTCTTATAGTGGAATACAATCGCTTCTCTTGCATAAAAATTCATATTTCAACAACCGTTAAAGTTAGCAAATTAATTTTTTTTTTGGGCAACCGTACGCGAAGTAACATTTCGCGGACGCTTTAGCGGCCGCGAAATGATATTTCGCGGCCGTTGTCATAGCGACGGCCGTTAAAGTAAATGTCACTTATAGGTATATTTATATTTCATACTTCTTTTTTGATTTTTGCAGAATTTGCAGAATTCGCAGCAATTTTTAGTTCCGGAGGAGTTCCGGTTATCGAAGTACCACTATCACTTTGAAAATTAAACATTATTACTTTTCTTTGACACAACTTTTACTGTCAAATATTATATCTCATTTAATTGTTTGCCATTTCCATGGAAACCATTCTAGATTTTTGAATTATTTTTAATTTATTATCTGTCACATAATATATTATAATTAAAGTTTCCAATGTAGCAATAAAACGAGTAGGTACTTGCCCAAAAAATTTTGTGTATACCACAGCCTCGAAACCCTTTAGAGTCCTCGAGAGATTGTCTTGCCTCGGCGGCAATTTTTCCCTCGGTACTCCAAAGAGTGTTTTCGCGGCCTTGGTATACAAATAACTATTTTAATAACTTTATCAATGTTTTAACTACATTTGACTCGATATAGAAATTTTCAATAATTCACATAGCTCGCTGCAGGGTAAAGTTTTTGATGCACGATTTTGATGATTCTATAATGCAACATTTTTTTTTTTCAAAATCTTTAGAAATTTTTAATATTTCTGAATTGCTATTAGAAGCGCTTACATTTCAAGTATAAGTCTGCAAAAAATCAGAATTTTAGATTGTATTCTAGAATTAATACAACGGTTAATGTTACGAATTACCCACACTCATAGTGAAATACAATCACTTCTCTTGCATAAAAATTCATATTTCAACAACCGTTAAAGTTAGCAAATTAATTTTTTTTTAAATAACTTTATCAATGTTTTAACTACATTTGACTCGATATATATGTATAGAAATTTTCAATAATTCACATAGCTCGCTGCAGGGTAAAGTTTTTGATGCACGATTTTGATGATTCTATAATGCAACATTTTTTTTTCAAAATCTTTAGAAATTTTTAATATTTCTGAATTGCTATTAGAAGCGCTCACATTTCAAGTATAAATCTGCAAAAAATCAGAATTTTATATTGTATTCTAGAATTAATACAACGATTAATTTTACGAATCACCCACCTCACAGCGGAATAAAATCGCCGTGTGAATTTAAAATTCTTTTTAAATTTTATTATGCAAAATATGAAAATTTTCCAAAAAATTAGTAATTTTTAATGCCAAGAAATCAATTTTTCTAAAATCTGTTGCAGATACAAACAAAGAAATAATAATAATAATATTTTTGGGACACATTTTTTTTCAAAAATCACTAATTAATTAATTAATCATATAACTACAACAGAATGGTTAGTACAAGTCAAAAAGATAAACTAAAAGTATACTGAACATAAATTTGCTAAAATATAAGGATGATATTTTTTAACAAAATTTGTTAATATTTAATATTTTTTAATATTTTGATTTGCTAATATTTAATATTTCTATTAAAAAAAATCAATAAAAATATTTTAACTCAATGATTTTTTGTTAGATTTTTGCTATATAATAAAAAATTAAATTAAAAGTTTAACCGTTAACTAACCTCACGGATGTATTTTAAATTGAAATTACTAATAAAAAAATTCATATTTCTGTAACCGTTCGGTATTAAATCTTCTCATTTGTACCTTGCTAAATATTTTTTTACCTCTTCGTAATTTAATACCGAATGTTTATTTTGGTCTTTCGGGATTAAATATAAATTATATTAAATTACGAAGAGGTAAAAAAATATTTAGCAAGGTACAAATGAGAAGATTTAATACCGAACGGTTACAGAAATATGAATTTTTTTATTAGTAATTTCAATTTAAAATATAAACACATCCGTGAGGTTACTTAACGGTTAAACTTTTAATTTAATTTTTTATTATACATAGGTAGCAAAAATATAACAAAAAATCATTGTGTTAAAATATTTTTATTGATTTTTTTTAATAGAAATATTAAATATTAGCAAATCAAAATATTAAATATTAACAAATTTTGTTAAAAAATATCATCCTTATATTTTAGCAAATTTATGTTCAGTATACTTTTAGTTTATCTTTTTGACTTGTACTAACCATTCTGTTGTAGTTATATGATTAATTAATTAAGTAGTGATTTTTGAAAAAAAATGTGTCCCAAAATTATTATTATTATTATTTCTTTGTTTGTATCTGCAACAGATTTTAGAAAAATTGATTTCTTGGCATTAAAAATTACTAATTTTTTGGAAAATTTTCATATTTTGCATAATAAAATTTAAAAAGAATTTTAAATTCACACGGCGATTTTTTTCCGCTGTGAGGTTGGGTGATTCGTAACATTAATCGTTGTATTAATTCTAGAATTCAATATAAAATTCTGATTTTTTGCAGATTTGTACTTGAAATGTGAGCGCTTCTAATAGCAATTCAGAAATTTCAAAAATTTGTAAAGATTTTGAAAAAAAAATGTTGCCTTATAGAAACTTTACCCTGCGGCGAGCTATGTGAATTATTAAAAATTTCTATACATATATATCGAGTCAAATGTAGTTAAAACATTGATAAAGTTATTAAAAAAAATTAATTTGCCAACTTTAACGGTTGTTGAAATATGAATTTTTATGCAAGAGAAGTGATTGTATTTCACTATGAGTGTGGGTAATTCGTAACATTAACCGTTGTATTAATTCTAGAATACAATCTAAAATTCTGATTTTTTGCAGACTTATACTTGAAATGTAAGCGCTTCTAATAGCAATTCAGAAATATTAAAAATTTCTAAAGATTTTGAAAAAAAAAATGTTGCATTATAGAATCATCAAAATCGTGCATCAAAAACTTTACCCTGCAGCGAGCTATGTGAATTATTGAAAATTTCTATACATATATATCGAGTCAAATGTAGTTAAAACATTGGTAAAGTTATTAAAAAAAAAATTAATTTGCTAACTTTAACGGTTGTTGAAATATGAATTTTTATGCAAGAGAAGCGATTGTATTCCACTATAAGAGTGTGGATGATTCGTAACATTAACCGTTGTATTAATTCTAGAATACAATCTAAAATTCTGATTTTTTGCAGACTTATACTTGAAATGTGAGCGCTTCTAATAACAATTCAGAAATTTTAAAAATTTCTAAAGATTTTGAAAAAAAAAATGTTGCATTATAGAATCATCAAAATCGTGCATCAAAAACTTTACCCTGCGACGAGCTATGTGAATTATTGAAAATTTCTATACATATATATCGAGTCAAATGTAGTCAAAACATTGACACAGTTTTAAAAAAAAAAATTAAGTCGCTAACTTCAACTGTTGTTGAAATATGAAGTTTTATCCAAGAGTCCTGAAATTCCCGCTAGAATAATATAATAATTGTATAAATATATATTATAATATAATTATTATATATTATTAATAATTATACAGTGCTTGCAAATCCAAGTCCGACCACACAGGAAAGG